CCAGGAGAAGCCAGTCAGAAATATTGTATCTTACTTGTATCTCAGATGCAGAGTTAACTGTCAAAGAGTACTTTCAACAGCAGCGCATTTCACAATACGGCATTCTTACTGTTCACTGGCAACCCGTTCCCAGGTTTTTGAGCGGTGGATTTTAGCTTCTTTTTCTCTCTTTTTGCGGGGAAATACAGTTCAGACCTTTCCCCCCTCCTCCCCTGCAATCAAGGGGGAAAGTCGCTTATTTGATGTTCGAATTATAATCCTTTTCCAACGTCTTTCAAGGTTTCCGCTTACAAGTTCATTGCTTTACTCCATTTACAAAGAACGGAAGGCAGACTTCCTGTTTATGCCTCTCCGCTTCGGTGCCAAATTATTTCTTAGTTCCTTTGTTTCCGAAATTAGCCTACTCACGGATCGTTGTTTTGCAGCCAAATTGTCCCAGGAAAAAGGCAGCGCTCTCCAGTAACGGCTGTGCGGCTTCGCTCCACGGAAGAAGCAGTTGACTCACAGCACCGCGCCACTTCCCCGCTTCGCTCCGGAACCCGTAATCAGGCTCCTTTGCAAGTTGGGGGGGGCACAAAAGGTGCCCGCCGAGTCCCATGGTCACAGGCTTCACCCGCCTGTGATTTTTGAAGGGTCCCCGCTTCACCGTAGTGGTGCAGACCCGATTTCCGCAGAGCCGGTTCCCTCCGAGTCAGAGGGAATCCGCCATTACCGATGGCGCCACCCCGGAAGTCTCAACATCTATCTGACTTTTAGAAGACATCTGAAGGCAGCCCAATACAGGGAGGTTATTAATGTCTGAGGTTTTTTGTGTTACAACGTGTTCTTGGAAGCTGCCCAGAGTGGCTGGGGCAACCTAGTCCAATTGGTGGTATATTATTATTATTATTATTATTATTGCTGATGGAGCTAAGTTTTCAGTCCAGCTGATGGAGAGGACCAGCAATCCCATATACCTACTTGCAGTTAGCTGATCCGGATTGTTTTCAGTGGGTGCAAGTGCACATTCAGTGGGAAGCAATGCAATGCATGCACATCCTGTTTCCCCTGGGTCTGATTCTCTTTCTGTGCTACTCAAGCAAGGCTCCTCTGGAACGGGAAGCCCCTCTTAACACTCATTCTTGTCTAAGAGGATCCAATGGCCAGACAGTCCAAGGCTTGAGGTTCAATTGCTCACCACACAGGGCCGTGGTGCATACACAGATTCCAGCAGCAAACTGCAGCCAAATACCCCTCCCTCAACACCTCAACAGCAACAACAACAGCAACAACCCCCCTCCGGATATTGTCATTTGGAGTGTTCAGCATGCAGGTAAAATTCATGCCAAACTTCAAAGAATACTTTCAAAGCTTTTACAATGAAGAATGAATAGCAAAACAAAACCACAGCATCTCTTACGGTCCCTTTTACATCTCAAAAAGGATACAAAAATGTGTGTATTGAAATCCATTTATGGGTGCACAAGATGTGGAAACAGATGATTGGGCCAGCTTAGCCCTAGCAATATCTGAAATGAAGCTGGAGTTTTCAGTTCTTGAAATGGAACATTCCGGTGTCGGGGGAAGGGGCTGTGGCGATGTTCTCTGAGTCAGAGTAGGCAGCCCCAGGGTGGAGCTAGAGGGCAGGTCCCAGTTTTTTTTCCAATTTGGTCTAAGGATTGAGGAATTTGTTCACCTTTAGTGTACACCTTCTGGAAAAAATGGCAGAATTATAGCTTCTCTGACTGACCCCCAGGACCCTCCTAAGACCACCTCCCCTTCCCGGCCACACCCTCCCAGGTGACACCTGCTCTCCCAGACCCCCTACTTCATACTCTGAAGTGCTTTGCCTGGCTAGAATGTTTCCTTGAACTCTGATAATGCCTTTTGCTTCCTTTGATGGAGGAAAGAGAGAGGTGTGAGAGTGTGTGTAGAAACTAGCCCATGGTACATTTTTACATGTATTGCTCTGTCTACTTTTGCCTCTGGTGACACCCACCACTGGCACGTGGCCCCCAGATAGTTGCCTGGAGGGGACTGTGGCCCTTGGAATGAAGAATGGACTGGAGCAAAGACCAGGATATATTCTGCTTGATTTCATGAGAGCTTAGGGTCTCGTGTCCATCAGGCTCCACCCTGAGTCACCAGGCATAGACAGGCTCTGCCTCCTGAATCGTTCAGCGGCCACTAGACTCCAGTTATGGAGGGAACTGGCAGCTCGAAAACAAGGGTGAAATTGTAGCCCTTGATATTGTCTCCTTGGTTCCATACCTTACAACATTGCCTGCATCCAGAAGGCTTTGCAGTTCAGGAAACTGAAGTGTGGAGGTGACGCAGAGGCGGAGGATGCAAAGAAGTGCAGAGAGTTGTGCCCACGGTGGTGGCTGGTGGGGAAACTGGCTAAGCAGAAGAGATCATATGGTAAATAAGAGGAAGAAAATCACCCAGATTTCCCAGGCACATGCTGTATGGTCTACATGCACAGAAGGAGGGGTTGTGAGCGTTGCCGTTTACCTAGGTGCTGATGAAAAGTGTGATGCTGTGGACCATATGGACTGCAATATCACATCAGAAGAGCTCGCCTCGCAAGTGGGATGGCTTGGAAATTTTGTAGCTTTTTTGTCAGTTTATAGCAACACTGTTAACTGACTGTAAGCCAAACATTTAAAAAGCTGCGTTTAATGGGCACTGGCGGTGGGGAGAGGAGAAACTCACAAAGACTGTTCAGACCACGATATAGATAGTTAAATAATAATTAAACATCTCGGGGATACATTTTGTCAGGGACACAACGGAGGTGCATGCATATGCACACAAATTGGGGTGGCAGAACTGTGGTCCTCCAAAAGTTCTTGGATTGCAGCTCCCATCACCATTGACCATTGGTTATGCCATCTGGGGCTGATGGCAGCAGGAGACTGATAATATTTGGATAACCACTGGATATCTACCCCGATGTAAAGAGATCCATTAGAACATAGCGCTGTCCAGATATTATTGGATATTCAGCCATGCAGCTATGGCTGGTGGGAGTCAGAGTCTAACAGTGCTTGGAGGGTCACAGGTTTTCTACCCGTGATGTAATGAGTTCCATCAGAACAAGGGTAGCCAATATGACACCATCCATTCCGCTATCCAGTCCCTTGTGGAGGGTGAGGGAAGACACAAACCCTCAAATATGCATGCAACCCCACAAATTTACAACTACCCATTAATCTCTTCCTCCCATTCCATCTCAAATCCCTATTAACAACAGACTTTTAAACATTTGTCCGACACACAACAAATTTGGGAGCCCACACCTTTAAGTGATTTGCAAGTTTATTTCACTTTCAGAATTGATTTAGCTGACATATGGGCCACAATGACATGATTTTTTTCCACCTACCTCTGAAATTTGAGGAGCATCGTTTATGTGGCTTACCTAAAAAGGCATCTTGTATAATTAATCATTATTATTTACCTGATGCGGGACGCGGGTGGTGCTGTGGGTAAAACCTCAGCGCCTAGGACTTGCCGATCGCATGGTCGGCGGTTCGAATCCCCGCGGCGGGGTGCACTCCCGTTGTTCTGTCCCTGCGCCTGCCAACCTAGCAGTTTGAAAGCACCCCTGGGTGCAAGTAGATAAATAGGGACCGCTTACCAGTGGGAAGGTAAACGGCGTTCCGTGTGCTGCGCTGGCTTGCCAGAGGCAGCTTGTCACGCTGGCCACGTGACCCGGAAGTGTCTGCGGACAGCGCTGGCTCCCGGCCTCTAGAGTGAGATGAGCGCACAACCCTAGAGTCTGGCAAGACTGGCCCGTATGGGCAGGAGTACCTTTACCTTATTTACCTGATGCACTCAGTGTGTGGTCTCCTCCAGAGTAACTGGGCAACACAAATAATTTATAACCCCCCTTTTTAAAACTCAACCGAGTTACAGTGGTGCCTTGCAAGACGAAATTAATCCGTTCCGCGAGTGTCTTCGTCTAGCGGTTTTTTCGTCTTGCGAAGCAACCCTATTAGCGGCTTAACGGATTAGCGCTATTAGCGGTTTAGCGGCTATTAAAGGCTTATCGGCTTAGCTGCTAAAAGGCTATGAAAGGCTTAGCAGCTTAGATAAAGGGGGGGGGAGCGGAAAAAAAATCTCAAGACTCGCAAGACATTTTCATCTTGCGAAGCAAGCCCATAGGGAAATTCGTCTTGCGAAGCAACTCAAAAACGGAAAACCCTTTCGTCTAGCGGGTTTTCCGTCTTGCGAGGCATTCGTCTTGTGGGGCACCACTGTATTAAGTGAACAACTAGAAAGAGCAGTTCAGATGCTGTTCTCTGCATGAAAGAAGTGAGGGTGTCCCTGTGGCATCATCTCTAGCCTCTGTGCACTAAGAGAAGCATTGGAAAAGGTGCAGCTGCTTATACACCTGGACATGATGGGCAGGTTCTTCCCACCCGTGAGAACCTGAGAAACCAGAATTCTTCCCGCTGGTGCTGAAGGCTATTGTGCACGCAGTTGAATGAGCTCAGGCGCCTCTGTCTGAACCTCCACTGAATGAATCAGTGGGGAGAATGGAACAGGAGAAATGTGACTCCATTGCACTTGCAAGTTAGATACCTGCTGTGAAAAACTCCAACCATTCAATGGAGGTAGACCGTAGCCATCATAGCTGGTAACACGGACAGCCTCTCCTCCATGAATTGAATTAAGGCCATTCAAGCTGTTGGCCATCGGTGCTGTTGGCCATTCAAGCTGTTGGCCATCGGTGCAAGTTCCATAGTTTAACTAAGTACTGTGTTTCTTTTTGTCTGCACTGAATCTTCCATCATTAGATAACACTAGTTTCTAGTATTAACAGAAAGGGAGAAAAACTATCCACCTTCCCCACAACATACATAATCTTATACACTTCTATAATGTCCACATCTACACCTTTTCTTTGGACTGAAAAGTCCCACAAGTTGTAACCTTTCGTAGCATCACAGAATTGTAGAGCTGGAAGGGACCAGGAGGGTCATCTAGTCCAACCCTCTGCAATGCATGAATCTTTCACCCAATGTGGGGCTTGAACCCACGAGCCTGAGATTGTAAGTCTCATCCCCTCTCAACTGAGCTATGGAGGAGTTGTTCCAACCGCTTGATCACTTTATTGGCTCTTTTCTGAACCTTTGATTTCCTTTTTTCAAAAGTGCATTTCATTCGGTTTTGATGAGTAGTGATGTGGGAGAAATTTGATAAAGTTTTAATTAATTAATTAAAATAATATTGCATCCTTCCTTCCAAAAGAGCCCAGGGCATCAAACGCTTCAGTAATAATTAACAATAAAAATGTGCTTCGAACATTAAAAAACTGTTAAAACATCTAAGAACAGTAAAACATTTGGAACAAATTTGTGAAGAGATATAACCAAATCATGTTGCTGGATAGGCTCACTGAAACAGAAGAATTTTCAGTAAGTATCTAAAGGAGGGTGGTGATGGCATTTGCCTAATGTCAAAGTTCCAAAGTAGAATGACTCAAGTCCTTCCCAAGGTGAATTTACCTCACTTGCACCTTCCCAAATCCCAAACCAAAATACAGCTCCCCTTCAAAATTTGCACTTCTTTTAGTTTTGCAATATAAATTTATTTATATTTCATTTATTAAATTTCTAAACTGCTCTTCATCCAAGCATTACAGGGCAGTTTACAATATAAACACACAAGAATACATAACATAGTAACAGACAAACAAAATACCCACTCCCCAAATTTAAAAGGCTGTTGATTGTCTAATTAGCCAAAGTCCTGGGAGAAGAGGAACATTTTTGCCTGGTGCCTAAAGAGTTAAAGAGTTGTAATATTGGCGCCAGGTGAGCCTCCCCAGGGAGAGCATTCCATAACCAGGGAGCCACCACAGAAAGGGCCTGTTCTAATGTTGCTGCCCCCTGGAATTCTTGTGGAGGGGACACGCAAAAAGGGCCTCAGATGAAGGTCACAGGCTCTGGGCCAGTTCATATCAGGAGAGGCAGTCCATGAGGTATTGTGGTCCTGAGATGCTTACGGCTTTAAAGGTCAAAACCAACACTCTGTGCTGGCCCACAAACTAATAGACAGCCAGTGCAATCAGGCCAGAATTTGTGTTCTATGCGCAAACTGTCTTGCCCCGGTGAGCAACCTAACCGCTAAATTCTGCACCAGCTGAAGTTTCCAGATTGTCTTCAGAGGCAGGGCCATGTATAATGTGTTGCCGTAATCTAACCTAGAGGTTACCAGAGCATAGATGACAGATGTTAGAACTTGGGTACTATGCTCCTTGACCTGGAGCAGGATTCGGAGTCGCCCTGGAAACAGAAGCAATGAAAATGCTCTTAAGGAAGTGAAATACAAGGCCTTTTTGTTTATTTATTTTGCACTAGGCATAATAGCTGTGTTTTCAAGAACTTAGTTAAAAAGAAATTTTATTTGATTAATTCAAATGTATAGGATTAGCCAATTAATTTGCATGCATTTCCACTGTAATCGGTTATATTAACAAATTGACAAATTAATAGTTTTGATCAATCAGGTAAATTTGATTGACCAAATAAGTGCCTATCTCTCTCTGCCTGCTTACGTCTGCCTGTCTATCTTTATATACTGTCTGGAAGAGGCAATTCCCACACACACACAGTGATACATGAAATGCCACATTGTATATAATCTAAACCAGAGATGGCGACCCTGTTGCCCTCCAAATGTTGTAGGACCACCCTTCCCATTATCCTTGATCACTGGTCACGCTGAATGGAGCTGATGGGAGCTGGAGTCCACCAGCAAGAGGTGAAGGGTCACAGATTCCCCATCCCTGATTTAAAGAAAAGATAAAACAGAATGAAACGAGAAGAGCATGCTTCTCACTTCAGAACTATCATTTTTTATCTTATTTATTAAATGTGTATGCTGCCCTTCACCTGAAGTTCACAGGGTGGTTCACAACATAAAAAGTACAAAATGGGAACACAAAGTATGTAATGAAAGCAACAAGAAGGAAAACAAACCAGTACCACCCACCTAGTGCAGAACTTTTACACCAGAAGAAATACATGCAGTTTTAATTGACCTAAGAGTCATGTGAGTTTGAGCTATTAATTGACTGAGATAAGAGGAAAAACCATAACTCAGTGGCAAAGCATCTACTTTGCATGCTAAGGGTCCCAGGTCTTATTACCACAATGTAAGAAGGATGTTGACAAGCTGTAAGGTGTGCAGAAGAGGGCAACCAAGATGATCAAGGATGTGGAAACTAACCTTACAAGGAACGCTTGAAGGAGCTGGGTATGTTTAGCCTGGAAAAGAGGAGACTGAGAGGAGATATGAGAGCCATCTTCAAATACAGTGGTACCTTGGGTTACAGAGGCTTCAGTTTACAGATGCTTCAGGTTACAGACTCGCTAACCCCGAAATAGTACCTCGGGTTAAGAACTTTGCTTCAGGATGAGAACAGAAATTGTGCGCTGGCGGCGTGGCGGCAGTGGCAGGCCCCATTAGCGAAAGTGGTGCTTTAGGTTAAGAACAGTTTCAGGTTAAGAACGGTTAGCTCCAGAACAAATTAAGTTCTTAACCCGAAGTACCACTGTATCTTAAGGGCTGTCACATGGAAGAGGAAGCAAGCTTGTTTTCTCCTGCTCTGGAGGGTAGGACTCGAACCAATGGCTTCAAGTTACAAGAAAGGAGATTCTGACTAAACATCAGGAAGAACTTTCTGACAGTAAGAGCTGTTCAGCAGTGGAACACACTTCCCTGTGAGGTAGGTGGACTCTCCTTCCTTGGAGGTTTTTAAACAGAGGTCATGGACACTTTAGCTGAGATTCCTGCATTGCAGGGGGTTGGATTAGATGACCACTGGGATCCCTTCCAACTCTAAGAGTCTATGATTCTATCTTCAGTTAGGGCTGGGGAATCGCCTGAATCCCTGGAGAATGGCTGCCATGCAGCGTGCGCAATACTGCTCTAGGTGGACCAGCAGTATGATTCAGTGTTGGGCCACTTCCTTGTGCTCCTATCCCACCTTGCAGCGAAGGGCAATTACATGTAGGCAGGGTACTACATTACTGCTGCTGTAGGAGGATCATGCAAAGAATAAACGAAGGTTTAAGATGAATTTCTGTTTGATCATTTTTTTGAAAACGTTAGCAGTATGCTGAGTGCAAAACAAGCAAGCAAACAAATGTACAAATTAATGCATTCCTTTTATTTCAAACTCCCCCCCCCCATTGGATCAGTTGCCAGCCAAATCTGATTCTCACCCCTTGCCTCGCTGTTAGCCTGCCCCCTGGCCCTCTCCCCCTGGCTAATCGGGATGCTGCCATCCAGCCAGGCAGAGGCTGCTCTAAGTATTGTCACTTTGCCGCAAAGAGTTGCCTTTGCATGCCTTTCGCATGATTGTAACCGACAAGACGAAGACAGTGTCTGATGTAAATTTTGCGCCTTGCTGCCAATTATCATCAGAGCTAGTCAAAATAAACAAATTAAACAAATAAACATGTCAAAACAGCTCAGACATAGGAAAGAGAGGAGCCAAGACCAAACACTTATCGGCGTGGTTGGTAGGACTGCGGGGGCTGTGCAGTGTAAAACGATCCGTTGCATTCTTCACCTTTTGCTGCTGAAAAGGCGAAGGAAGGTGAGTCGGGGTAGAGTTACAGTCCTGTTCAGCTTGGGCCTGCAAATGAACCCAAATCAAACCCAAATGTTGCTTCCCTCCCCCCTTTCCCTCCCTCTTCTGTTGCATAAAACCAATCCTTCCACAGGTTTTAAGGCAAGCCTGGGAAACCTCAGGCCTGGGGGCCAAGTGCAGCCCTCCAGGCCTATCCATCTGGCCCTCAAGACCCTTCTCAGGCCACACAATGGCTGGCCCTGCTTTTCACCCGGCTTGAGTGTTTTTGCCTGGCTGGAATGGGTCCTCAAACTCTGATAATGCTCCTTGCTTGCCTGGACGGAGGATCGAGAAGGGTCTATGTGAATGTGTGTGCAGAAACCCGCCCACTGCACAAAGCAGTAAAGCAGCATATAAGTAAATCAATCAATCAATCAATCAATCAATCAGTCATACTAATTGTTCTGCCCCTTTTTGCCTCTGGTCTCCCCCTGTGGCCCCTGGAAGTTGTGTGGAATACGGCCTTTGGTTGGAATATGCTTCCCATTAGTTGTTGTTGTTTAGTCGTTTAGTCGTGTCCGACTCTTCGTGACCCCATGGACCAGAGCACGCCAGGCACTTCTGTCTTCATGCTTCCCATAACATTTTTAAAATAATTGGATGGGAGGAAATCAAGCAGCTCTCGCTTAGTTAGTTATTAATATATTTAATTCATATACTGCTTCACATTTCAACAGAAATCTCAAAGTCCCAACAAATCCCAAGAAAAAGGATTTTCTATAACCAGTATGGTACAAATTCTACATTCAAGCCCAACAGTGCTGCTGCTGCTGCTACTACTGCTAAACATAATCATAATGTGTGCAGTCGAGGGCGATCGAGATGATCGTGGGTCTAGAAACCAAGATGGGAGTTGGGGATGTTTAGCCTGGAGAAGAGGAGACTGAGAGGAGATAGACATCTTCAAATACAGTGTCTGAATGACTGTCATAGGGAGATGGAGCAAGCTTGCTTTCTCCAGCTCCAGAGGGAAGGACCCGAACCAAGAGATTCAAATTACATGAAAAAAGATTCTGATTAAACATCAGGAAGAACATTCTGACAGGAAAAGTTGTTTGACAGTGGAATGGACAACCTTGAAACGTGATGGACTCTCCTTCATTGGAGGTTTTTAAACTGAGGTTGGATGGCAACAGTCAGAGAGTCTTTAGCCGTGATTCCTGTACTGCAGACAGTGAATTACCGGTAGGTGGCCAGTCCAGCTCATCTCCCCCTTATACTCCAGTCTTGGGTTGCTAATAGCAGCTCTGGTAGGGAGCAATCTAGATCAGGGCCACAGTTGGGGTGATAGCAGCAGCAGCAGCAGCAGCAGCACTAATAGTAACAACTTTTTTTATATCCCACCAATCTGACTGGGTTTCCCCAGCCCCTCTGGGTGGCTTATAGCACATTCAAAAACATAATAAAATATCAAACATTAAAGAACAGATTATCTTATACAGGCTA